TTTAGTATTAAGGTAGCAGATGGACATCGGGCCTCCACTTAAGTACCCCCTTAATGCAAGAACACTTTGTTCTATTAAACTGGCATTCCATGATACTCACATTCCCGACATGATTGCTGAAGACAAAGCAGTGCATAAGTAAATGTGGTGAAGAAAGCTGATAGTGCCCAGATATCCAAACATATAACATCTGGGGTCTTAAAGGCCTGAGGTAAACAAACAGCCATCTAGCTCAGAAGTAACAAAGCCCACATGGAAGAAGCACATCAGCCTGTGAGATCACAAGTTGTCAAAGGGATCAGGGATCAAGCATCAAAGAACAAAAAATCATATCATTGTGAATGAGGGGGAGTGCGGAGTGGGGACCCAAAGCCCATCTGTTGGCAACTGGACATCCCCTTACTGAAGGGTCACAGGGAGGAGAAGAGCCAGTCAGGGTGCAATGTAGCAATGATGAAACACACAACTTTCCTCTAGTTCCTAAATGCTTCCTTCCTCCCACTATCATGATCCCAATTCTAGTTTACAAATCCAGCTAGACCAGAGGATGTACACTGGTACAAATAGGAACTGGAAACACAGGGAATCCAGGACAGATGAACCCTTCAAAACCAGTGGTTAGAGTGGCTATACCAGGGGGTGTAGGAAAAGGGGGGATAGAAAGGGGGAATAAATTACAAGGATCTACCTATAACACCCTCTCTTGGGGATGGATAACAGAAAAGTGGGTGAAGGGAGACATTGGATAGTGTAAGACATGACATAATAATAATAATTTATAAATTATCAAGTCTCTTGTGGGGGCAGGGATAAAAATGAAGAGCTGAGACCAAGGGCTCAAATAGAAAGCAAATGTTTTGAGAATACTGTTGGTACAAATGTGCAAATGTGCTTGACACATGGATGTGTATATGGATTGTGATAAGAACTGCACAAACCCCCAATACAATTATTTTAAAAAAACAATGGCCTGACTTGTGGTAGGTAGAGACTAATTCTGCCACCCCGACAATGCACCTGCTCACGCAGCCATCTCAGTGCTCCAAAATTTGGCAAAAAACAGCATGCTTATCTCATCCCACACACCTGACTCACCTGACCTCACTGTGACTTCTTTTGTCTCTGCAAACGCAGAGGAACATGAAAGGACAGCGATTTGATGATGTGGAAGAGGTCAGGAAACAAAAGAGGGAGGTGCTGTCATCCATCCAAACAGATGAATTTGAAATTTGCTTCCAAGAATGGAATTGCAGATTTGGCAAGTGTATTAAGTGTAAGGGAGAGTACTTTGAAGATAATGAGGAATTTTTTGTACAAAAATTTAAATACATAGCTTTGAAAAAAAATACCGGGTTTTTGGGGTACCCCCTCACACATACAATGGAATACTATGCATTCCTAAAATATAGTGAATAAACCATGAAATGCCTGACAAAGTTGGGCCTGGAAACCATTATGATGAGTGAAGTTAATCAATCACTAAAGGACAAATATTGTGCGAGTCCACTCTTATAACTATAAACTGCACATAAAAGTCAGGTTACTACTCTCAGGTCATGTGATCTTCAAACCTGGTTTTGCAACCATGAGGAAGAGAGATTCCCTAGTACCTCTGAACCATAGCTGACCCCCTTTATATGTACATGTAAAAACAACACTTTGACAGTGGAGACCTCACTTTACCTGTGGTCAGTTTATGATGATGGGGGTGAGAGAGAGGACCATTCAGTTGCTGCCATACAACATTGTGCTAAGGTCACCCAAAATCAACAGGCACTCCTATAAGATTGGTAAGCGACCCTTACTGGAAATTCAAGTCAAGATTGGGGCAGAGGGAGGGAAATATATATCTTAAAGGTGATTAGACTTTTGTTGGAGAGTAAACTGAGTGAAGCAATCTCTCATGGGAAAAAAAATTAACATTTCTTAAATAGAATCCAAGTTAAGAGTATGCCTGGTACTATATTCTTAATTAGACAGGTTTGACCTAGTTTCTCTCCAGCCTTTGGTGACCCAGGCCACAGACTGTAGACTACTGGGATGTTAAAATCTGTCTGTTCAAGGTGCACAACATCCTTCATAGGCCACACCAGGAAGAGTCAATGTGGAACCACACTAAGTGAACCAGGCTTTACCTCAAACTCACCTGTCTTAGATTTAAGGAACTGATAAGTGCTCTTGAACTTAAGGCTGAAATTTCCTAGTGTGAAGATTAGCAAATGACTGCTTTCCCAATGATATGGAATGGTGGTGATTGAAATTTGGTTAAGATCTCTTGCTTTGAGGGTACCCAATGAATGGTAGCCCTGTAATACCATATACGAGGCTTTTCTTGGTTTCTTATGACATGTATTAATCTGATACAAATCATTCTGCCTCTGTAAATGAATGTTATTGAAAGTTTTACCCTATTACTAGCCCGCATTTTTGTGTAAATAATGTGCAGTCACTTAAGCATTTAATGTGTACAAGTCAAAATTTCGTGTATTGCTGTCTGAAAAACTGCCTATATTTATAAAATTTCCTTTTCTCAACAGTGTTTGAAATTCTATACCATTGGCAAATTTTTTTTTTTAAACATTTTATTAGGGGCTCATACAACTGTTATCCCAATCCATACACACATCAGTTGTGTAAAGCGTATTTGTACATCATTTCTCAAAACATTTTCTCTCCATTTAAACCCCCGACATTAGGTCCTCATTTTTCCCCTCCCTCCCCGCTCCCCCCTCCCACATGAGCCCTTGATAGTTTATAAATGGGTATTTTGTCATATCTTGCCCTGTCCGACTTCTCCCTTCATCCACTTTTCGGTTGTCTGTCCCCCAGGGAGGAGGTCACACACAGTTCCATGTAATCGGTTCCCTCTTTCCTACCCATTCTCCCTTTACCCTCCCTGTTTTGCCACTCACACCACTGGTCCTATAGGGCTCATCCATCCTGGATTCCCTGTATTTTCAGTTCCTATCTGTACCAGTGTACCTCCTCTGGTCTAGCCAGTCTTGCAAGATAGAATTCGAGTCATGGTAGTGGGAGCGGGGAGGAAACCTTTAGGAACTAGAGGAAGGTTGTATTTCTCATCATTGTTACATCGCACCCTGACTGGCTAATCTCCTCCCCGAGACCCCTCTGCAAGGGGATCTCCAGTGGCCTACTAATGGGCTTTGGATCTCCACTCTGCACTGCCCCCATCATTCACTATGGTGAGATTTTTTGTTCTGATGATGCCTTACACCTGATCCCTTCGACACCATTGGCAAATTTATGACACTGTCGATAGAATCACCTTATACCACAGGGGAATGATTCATAATGTTCTCTACCCATAAATGATAAAATCTCTAAAGTGAACCAGAGACATATATAAATCTCAGATATATAAATAGAATTGTGGCTTGCATTTAATTCTTGCCTCAATCTAAGAACAATTAATTCTAAGATTTGGTGCCCTTGATACTTGTCCTCATGAAGGAATCACTGAAGATATAGGTGCTGAAGGAAAGTGGTGAAGAAACTAGATGGTGCCCGGCAATCAGAAAGAATAAGTCTTAAAAGCATGTCTTAAAGGCTTGTCTTCAAGCAAGCAGCCATCTAAGTGAGGCATCTACTCAGTTCACATGGGAGAAGCACACCAGCCTGTGTGATCCAAAGATTGTAAATAATAAAATCCACATCTGAAGGTGGGAATGTTATCAGGGATTAAGTTATAAACACCTATTTTGGAGATGGCTATGAGTTACAGTGAAAGCTCCAAATCCATTTGTAGTGCCTCCACATGGATAAAGCCTCCGGTGACTCCTCTCTGAATATAGTCCAGGGATGTCAATAGCCTTGCTATTATATTATAAAGTCAATAATGGCAGATGTAGTTAGGTTAACATATAATAACCTCCCTTTTGACCTCCCTTTTGACTCATTTTACAGTTGTTTCAGTTTTTAATATTTTCTAATTTCTTTATGATTGAGATGTTCTCTGTTTTGTCATTGTTGTTTTGCTTTGTTATTGCTGTGTGTGTGTGTGTGTGTGTGTGTGTGTGTGTTTGCTATGATTTTCTCTATATGAAATCCAGGATAGGTGATCTGATAGGGAGAGTAACTGGATCCACTTACCTTGAGGCACAGCAGAGGAGGCTGTAGAGAAATGGTGTGCTAACAATGAGCACAGAAATGTTCTGAAGGTAATGGTGTTGATGATTGCACAATGCTTCTTAACTTGATTAAGCAATTAAATTGTATGTTATTTGAGCTGTATACCAAATTTACTATTTTGAAAAGATATCTGAGGTGGAATAAAAGGCATCGACTTTTATTAAATACTTATTAGGCTCATAGATACCCCAGGACCTTTTCATAGCTGAAGTCGGTTGGTTCCTGTAACAATGATACAAAGCAGCTATTAATGTATTTACAGATAATAAAATCTAAATGCAGTTAAGATTGATAATGTATCCAATGTAACGAATTTGGTATAAAAAAGTATATTTGTGAACCAGCCGGTGAGCTCTCTGTAACAGGGGATTGCCTGTGCCTGGCAGGCCATTGTTTAGCTTCCCCCACCTGCTTTTCCCTTCAAAAAAGTAAATTTTAGCTCTTAAAAGGTGTTTATGGCAAAGCATGTGGAATATAAGAGAACCTATAATCCCTCTACCCAAAGATAGAACCAGTGATGTTAATTTGATGTGAAATTTTACCCTTTTCTTTAGCATTTATGTATACATCGATAGGTTAATTAATATAGTATGTACTTTTATTTTAAGTGCATATGATCTTTTGCCTTTTACCCTTATATTTTTAAACCATCTCTGACCAAAGTGGGTTAGACACTTTTAAAGGAGAACAGAGAGAGGTGTTGAAGAGACGGGGTTTGACTTAAGAAGACGGGGTGCTACGTGCAGGTTGAGACTGCAAGTAGACCACAGTCTCAGGAAACCAGGCACCACGCTCTGGGAACCTTCTGGAATCAATCATCCCAACAGCCAGCCTTCCTGTTTCTTTTACAGGCAGCAACCTGAGTGATGGCTTGTGGCATTCAGTGAGCATCCGAGCCAGAAGGAACCGCATCACTCTCACTCTTGATAATGATGCAGCATCCCCAACTCAGGATACCATCACCGTGCTGATTTATTCTGGAAACAGCTACTACTTTGGAGGTAAATTCGCAGCCTCTGAAATGGAAAATAAATGGGAGTAAAGGGAGAGTATATTGGACATTTATTTCACTGAGATGATCCTTGTGTTGTCAATTACAACATTCTTTCAACACACACATATACACGCACATACACACACACACCACTGCTAAACCCCAAATAGGAGAGGCAGACCCTCTCACTGCTATAGAGATACAAGGTTAGAGTGCTGAAAAAGAAAAGGGCTTTTTAGCTCTAAGTGCTAGTGTTATGTAACAGATCCAAATGGGATGTTTGTTCCGATGTCTAGTTCTGTGATCACATTCCCAAGGAGAAACTTAGCCACTCAGCTGGAAACTTGACTAAAGCATACTAACGTTAGCAATATCTGAGAGAGGAAAGAGGCACCTGGGAAGGCATCATTAGCATGCTCCGTCATGAGATCACATTTTCTGAAAAACCAAAGTCACTGCTGATTCACAGTGATCCCCTGTGGGTTTTGAAAACGGTAGCTATTTAAGGGAATAGAAGCCCAGTCTTTCTCCTCTGGAGTTGCTGGTAGTTTCAAACTGCCAACCATGCAAGTCACAGCCCAAAGAGTAACCACGACACCACATCACTTCCTCGCCACTTCCCTTTCTTTAATCCTCCTGCCTTACCTTCCTCGGGTCCATCGCAGGATGTGCCCAGTTTGAGGGGCAGCTAGAAATGGAGAGGACCTAGGAGACCTGCAAGGAGCAGCCATTAAAGATCCCACCATCATGGATGTTAGGCGAATCCTGGGGGCTTTGCTCTGGCAAGATAACAAGTTAATAAAGTACAAGCTGACACAGATAAAAAACATATTTAGACATCTACAGATTAAAATTGTGTATTCTTATTTAATCCTTTCAGTCTCTTTTTATTGAAGACATGGTATCTGCTTGCTTAGGTGACTGCATAGTTTCTTTGTGCAAAATTATACAACAACACCTCTTAAATATAATTTACAAAATATGTCTCGCATACGGATGGTATGTGGATAAATAAGTACCCAGAAAAGAATCCCCAGGTTCACCACACTCACTGGATTTCCTCTGAGAAGGAAGCAGAGTGCAACCATGTGTTTCTGCTCTGTTGGTAGAACCACAGGAGAGGCCTCCATCCTTGGAACGTTCCCCACATAGGCAGGGACAACACTGTCCCTTTCTCAGTGAATGTGGTATGTGTCTGTAACTGAATTCATGAAGCAATTTTACGAAGTAGATAATATTACCCCATTTCAAGATCATGAGACTATTCATTGCTGAGATAATCCCTGAAAGGCCATAGAGCTCATAAGCAGTAGAGCCAGTATTCAAACCAAGATATATGTGTTTTTTATTAACTCCAATGAAAATCAAAGGATGATAACAAAAGTGGTGTAAATGGTGTGAGGGAAGGATGTTGGGACCCAAAAGTAAATCTCACTGATGATGTGCTCTTTCAAAGAGACAGAAAATCAATCTTCAATTTATTTCTGGGGAATAAGAGGTCTTTTGGATTATTTGGGTATTTGTGATAACAATAAATTTTGGAACACCTAAAAGGCAAAATTGACTCATCCCGTGATGTGAGAAGTATTCTGAGATGTGCATTACGGGGCACTGGGCTTAGGATGTGAAGATTTTATGTGCCATTTACAATGGTTACACAAATGCCCCACATATAAACTGTGACCTTAAGGTAGGTGAAAAATATAATAGTCAACTTAAGTTTTTTTCTACAGCTTCAATTAGAAGTTGTGACATGTCTCTTCATTTTATAGTGTGATTTGGCCCAACAATAACTACCTACTAGAGATAGCTGACATAATTTTAAATTATATATGGATTGTTTCCATGTTCTCCGAACTTATTAAATCCATTTGGATGGACTTTGTAAGGCATGAAAGCACTAGTACAGCTAAGCGGCTGTGTGCCTATCATTAAGAAGCACCCATGCCTGGTTTGCATGCTATGGTATATTGCGATAAGACACTCTAAAAAATAACACCCTTTAAAAGGTATGTTTCCAAACTGTTCACGTATTCTGCCCTATAAGAATGTGCAGTATGTGACCTCCTCCCTGGGGGACGGACAACAGAAAGTGGGTGAAGGGAGACGTCGGACAGGGCAAGATGTGACAAAATAACAATTTATAAACTATCAAGGGCTCATGAGGGAAGGGGGAGTGAGGAAGGAGGGGAAAAATGAGGACCTAATGCCGGGGGTTTAAATGGAGAGAAAATGTTTTGAGAATGATGAGGGCAATCAATGTACAAATGCGCTTTACACAATTGATGTGTGTATGGATTGTGATAAGAGTTGTATGAGCCCCTAATAAAATGATTTTTAAAAAATAATGTTGGAAAATATTTTTTTAAAAAAATGGGCAGTTAACTCCATAGAGTCTTGATTTGCATTGTACAGCACATCAAAATCTAGCTATATTCCTGTGTGTATCTTTCTCAGGAAGTACACCTGTTAATGCTAACAATTAACTAGGCCATTACACTGCTGTCATCCATACCCAAATAACATTTCCTTTGAGAGTGTAATTCTGAATTGAATTGTGAATTTAGTAGTTAAAATATGCTACAACTTTGGGGTGAATGAAGTATACTATGCAAAAAGAATGGCAAATAGTTTACTAAAAGGGTGGGGTGGTGAGTGTTACAGTATTAGTATTCCCTTTAACACACTGTTTTCTTCCTACACAATGATTGAGGATGCCCCATTGTATGCCAATTCTGTCCCCTTTCTGAGATTCCTAGAATTTGAAATGAAACCGTGTGCACTCTGCTGTAAATGAAAAAGCGTGAAAATAATTAGACTTCTAGGTCTTCTATCAATAGATCACCAAAGCAATAACTTGTCATTTCAGTATTCGTGTTCATCTTTTTTATTTCTTATTCCACAGGGTGCCCCAACAATCACTCTGATTCTCGATGTTTAAATCCCACCAAGGCTTTTCAAGGCTGTATGAGGCTCATCTTTATTGATAACCAGCCCAAGGACCTCATTTCAGTTCAGCAAGGTTCCCTGGGGAATTTTAGTGATCTACACATCGATCTGTGTAGCATCAAAGACAGGTAATTATGGATTCTGCTCTGTTCTCTCACCCCCTTCCCATTCTCAGTGTTCTGAATATGAGTTTCTTTAAGCCAAATTCTAATTCACCAACATTAGCCATATTAGATATAATTGTCATGCCTAATGGAACATATTTCTGAAAGGATGTCAGACCCAGAGAAAAAATGGTTTAAATTAGTAGTCTCTCTTCATGTTGACTTGCAGTAAATGGGATATGCAAATTAAATCAAAATACAAGTTTGTGAACGGATTCAAATTTTATGCATAAACAACATTTGATTACTTTGAAGTTAGGAGTAGAGCAAAAGGAGGGAGAAATTATATCTGCCCTAAACTATTTCCTTCTTCGTTGTGATGAGTTTCCTTTCTAACACAGGCAGAGAACTGGTAGGCCTCGAATGCCCAGTCACAATTGCTCCCCAGGTATAGCTGGGGTTTACCACCCCCCCACACACACAGAAGCACACACACACACACACACACACACACACACACATCTCTGTGTTTCTTTGGCTCAGAGGTGTGCAGGCTCTGCTGGAAAGAGTCAGCACTTTTACTCTGACCCCAGGAATCTAGAAAACTCAATTTCTCTATTGCTCCTGGGAATTTGCTCTTCTTATATTGGAAGTTTCTAGATTCAAAGTCCTCCCCCCCCACACACACACACACAATACACACACGCACAGACTCACTCCGTACCCTTTCCTTTGCAGAGGAGCAAAGAAATGTGAGCCTGATTTTTCAAGGCTTCCTATTGATTCTGCAGGTACTATATCCTTTCAAAATATGGCTGAAGAATGTGTCAACTGCTTGCCTTTGTGGTGATAACGAGGCCTTTTGGAATTTCATCAGGGAATAACTTAGTCATTACACTGAAGTGATATAAGTGACCAAGAAGTATGCCCCCATTTCTGAGACACTTGGCAGCAAAAACTTCGTGTGACTGCAGAAGAATGAGGTCCAAGATCTCAGGGGAGGATGTGGAGTTAAATGATAAAGGAAGCATAGGTTTGGTAGAAGTAGAATTAGTGGAGATGTTGGTGTCCCGTGAACTAGCAATATATAGATTATCAGAAGGCACAGAAGCAACATAGTATAGCTTTAAAATATTTCATTCATTTAAGGTACTTTTTAAATTTTACAAAAATCTAATATTGGGGTGTATTTTATAGTTAATAGTGTATAAATTTAATTGGTGGCATTGTCTCCCTTAGGTAAGTTTGTTTTGTTTATTTATTTTACATAAAATAATGGAATGTCCTACAATGGGTAGTACTTAGATCCAGTAAAATGTAGCTCAATAGGATGATAATTCAGTATGAGTGGAGCCTCTGATAAAAATGTGACTGGAAATGCGGAGAGCCATCTGTGCTCATGGACTTGGGCTTTCATGCTCTGGGCAGAAGTCAGGGAAGAAAGTGATGGGTTTTACCTCGCAGAGTTCTCAGAAAGAAGTGAGAAAGAAGTACCTTGTGATGTAATGGAAAATAACAAGGCAGCTTCACAGAACATATTCATCAGGAATGCTCAACGTGACTAATACAAGTTGGTGAAGTGTTCCATGCGTCTCTGTTATTAACACCACTCATTGGGCCATCAACAAACCACACACCTCCGGGCTCTTCTGCTTCTGCCTCCCTGCCCCCTCTTTTACCACCTGGTAAAGTGTGTAACGAAATGTGTGCATCATCAAACTGTTAGAGTTCAGAGACCTCAGAATAAAAGATACAGAATTTTTGCACTCTTTACACTCTTTATTAATGGTTAGGAGAAAGCATATAACTTAATCAGCTGCAGCCCTCGGCAAAGTGTGGGCATTACAGAAAGAACATTTGTCAATAGGGGTTTCTTATGATACCTTAATTTCTAATCAAGGAAGCTCTCATTATTTTTGATTACAAGAAAGTAATTGCCATCTACATTGCATCATTACTTTTATGTAATTGTACTCTATATAATTGCATTACATACAATTGTGTTTTGTTAATTGAATAATAAGGGATTGTTTTTAGTTTAGCGAGGAAATGGTACATCTTTCTTGATTTACCAGCGTGTCCCCCAACAGAAAGAAAACTTGTGGCAAAGACTTTGCTCGATTAATTATCTTTTTAAATTTATATTTGATACATCTGGGAGAGTGGTAGGGGTTGGAAAACCAGGTATCTGAATTTCAGGTTTCCTTTCAAATGTGCTAATCAATTGGAACTTGATTTCAGACAAAGCAATAAATCTTCATCTTTAAGGAGCTTTCTCCTTTAGAGGGGAGAACATTTTAGCTGTGATTTTTCTTTTTATTGTTGTTGCCTTAGCTCCTTACTCCTGACGATCCCCTGCACAATGAAAAGCAGTATTCTTAGTTCTGGCTCCATTCCCCTGGCTCGTTTGGGAGTCAGACTTTTATAATCCAGTGGTTTTTCATTGTTGTTTTTTTTATGTTTTTCTTTTAAGTAGATTGCCAGCTATTTTTGATTTTCCTAGTTCATGTCAACCTAGACGCTCCTCTGAAGCACACGGAGCATCAAAGACATACACAGTCTCCACTGACAAATGGGTGTTGGATGTGCATGAGGTGCATTGGCCAGGAATCCAACCTAGGTCCCCTGCAAGGACTGTGAGAACTCTACAAAGGAGCCACCACTATCTCCTGGGGATAGTGGAGGGAAATGAATTGGATGACAGCTTCCTATCTGGTCAGTGTCTGTTCTTACTTCCACCTTCACTCCATGGGGACCCAGACCTCCTTCCTGACCTCTTAATTGACTTCTCCCTGGAAATCGGCACACTCACCTACAAAACGGGGCACAGTCCTCCAAGTTTACCTTCCTGGCCAGCTCAGATCAGAAGTCCTACACAGTGAAATAGTCACAGGATTAATCTCTCTGGGAAAACCACGCCTGGAAACACCACAGTGGCATTCAGAGAAGAAGCACAATTTCCTCAAACGTTTAGGAGCTTCCCCCCGGTGGGCTTTCTTTAAGATAGTGATGTTCCTAAAGCACCTTCGAGTCAGAAATTACCTCCAGCAAAACTTGGGAGGATGAAATTGAATACAGCATTTCATGCCAAGGAACCTTAGCGGGTCAATTTGCAGCTCAGGGATAGGTAAATTACCAAGCACTCTGGCTTCTGAAGAGATAGAGAGAGAGAGAGGGAGAGAGAGAGAGAGACTGAGAGACTGAGAGAAATGAGATGGAATCACTAGCTGGCTCCAGAGCCTTTGGCTGCAGGGTGAGTGATTGGTTTCAGGGGCTCCACCTCCAGACGTCCCAGTGAAACCCAAGCATAGGATTGGGAGTGAGATCAATGTTTCTTAGGTGGGATCATGTAGGATCAAAAGGGACCATTCTCTGTAGACCCCCTTCTCTTTTCATATTCTTCTGATACTGTACAGGAAGTAATGGAAAAACAGGTCGGGAGTAGGTTCTTGGCTGCTGTATCCATTGGCACCCCTTGACTCTAATCCTTTCTACAAATAAGCCAGTTAGATGTTGCAATCTTTTAATGACACACAGAAAACTGCTTTCAATTTCTTGCAGTCAAATACCTTATGAAATGTGGCTTCTCCTTCCATAACCACTTCCCTCTTCCTCAACGCAGCCTTTTAAGTAAAGTAGCTGCTAAATCATCTCGTCAAGATTCTTATTTTCTTCTTTGAGGTTTTGGACTGTTGTCAACAGAAGAATAGGAAAGCATTATATAGGATAAACTCCTACAAACTAAAACTCAACTGTGTGTGGGACTTCGTTTAAAAAAAAAAGTGGGTTGATAAAGAAAAGGCACGTTGCAGATGAATGCTTATGCCTCAGTTCTCTAAAACGGAACAGCTTCGCGCTGGGTACCAGGAAAGCCATGTGAGTGCAAGGCCCACACAATCTGGGCTTCTTCTAACTCTAAAGTGAGAAATGTCACAAAACAATGCTGTTCCTTTACTCATGAGATAATGAAAACAGGATTTTTCACTTTATTTACAGAGAAACTGGAAAGAGTCTGTGTAACAACGGATGAATGGGCGTGTTGTAAATACCATTTCATTTCCTTTTCTCAATAATCTTGTTTGATCTGCCAGCCATTCACAAAGTCTGGCGTGCAGCTGAGCAGCAGCAGTAGCATGTGGAAACGTGACCCAAGTGAAAAATTGGGGCCCAACACATACCTTCAAACTCCGAAATTCTGGGGGCAGTGGTGAGAGAAGGAGCAATGGGGTGGTAAAAAGTGTTAGCACATTCTGCTGCTAATCTAAAGATTGGAAGTCGGAGTCCACCCGCAGGTCCCTCAGTCGATCTCTGAAAAAGCAGCCATCCAGAACCCTGTAGTACACAGTTTCCCCCTGCTGCGCACAGATCTATCTTGATGTACAGAGTGTCATCACTGAGGCCTTTGGATTATGGTGCAGCTGAAGAATATTGAAAGGACCAAGGACTGCCAAAAAGAACAAACAAATCTGTCTTGGAAAAAGTACAGCCAGAATGCCCTTGAACCCAGGGCTGGCGAGGATTGATCTCGTGTACTTGGACAGGTTCTCAGGAGAGACCAGTTCCTGGAAAAGCACTTCATGCTCGGTGAAGTAGCGGGGGAGGAAAAACGAGGGAGCCCCTCGACAAGTTGAATTGACACCATTCCTGCAACAATGGGCTCAGCCAGAAGAACAGGGGTGAGGGTGGCACGGGATCCATCATGTTGGCTTCTGTTGTGCATCAGATCACTATGAGCACAAACCATCTTAGTGTCACCTAACCCAATTGACAATCTAACGTATCTATTTGTATTCCACCTATCAATCAATGTATCATTCTAATCCTAATAACCGATGAAGGTGGGTTGGTAGGTGCCTTCTGGCTCACAGTGACCACATGTCCAACACAACAAAATATTGTCCGGTCTGCACCGTCCTCAGGATTGCTACGTTCGAGCTCCTTGTGGCAACCACAGTGTGGTCCTCTGGTTTGGTATCTCTCCACTTGACCAAGCCTGATATCCTTCTCTGGGGACTGATCTCTCC